CTTGCAAGAGAAGGGAGTGGGCAGATGCGCAGCAGCCCTGGGCACTTGGGCCCGCTGTCCAGTCGCAGGCAGAAGGGCAGGTCTCGTGATGGTCCTGGCCTGAGCTCTGCAGTGTGGTGGGGCATGCGCTACTTCCTGTCTGCCATATGCTTTTCAAATAGCTGAGGGTTAGAGATTAGGCTCTCGGTTATCTTATCAGTATCATCTGTATTCATCTATTTGCAAGCACTGACAAGTCACACAGCAGTGCTGTGGTCACTACTAGGAAAAAGTGGGTAACACCACACATGGAGTTCTGCCCTTAGGCTGCTTACTCTCTCACCCACCATCATCCCTTGAAATTTTTTATTTCCTGTAAGGGTAAGGGATCAGGGGTTTGCCCAGTGGGGCCCACTCTTCCAGACCTGTCTGAACTCCTTAACCTGCCTGCTCACATCTGAACCTGCAGACCAAGCCTGTGGACCCGACTGTAGATGGAGGCGCACAGGTGCAGCAGGTGGTTAACATAGAGTGCGTGTCTGACTTCACAGAGGCACCTGTCCTCAACATTCAGTTCAGGTAAGAGTGAGCGTGGGCACCTGCCCATGTGCCTGGGAGCACCCCCCCCCACCACGGGGGACACCCAGTCACCTGAGCTTTCCAGAGTATAGGAAGCTAGCCGTTGAGTGCACCATGTACCACAATGCCCTGAAGTCCCGAGTGCTGCTCTGTGGCCCAAGGGGAGGCAGGGCCAGTCTGCAGTAGCTGACAGCTGGGAAAGACAGCTGCAGAGGAGATGCTGGTGGCTCTCCAGACCCAGGCAGGGCTTCTTGTGCAGCTGTATGCAGACCCAGCCTCTTGCAAGTACTACTGTGGAGTACCTGTGATTGTGGGTTCCCTGTAGGCCCGAGGCCAGTGTGTTTGGAGAAGCACGTTTTCAAATTCTAGAAACAGTACTTACGCAAATGCTTCTCTTCAGTCTTTCTGTGGGGAGATATCCCACCCTGACCACAGACACTGGTGCTCTGGAGGCAGATGAGAGGCAAGGGTGAGTGCTGGAGGCTGTCCTGCCAGCCCTGAGAAGGGCCAGTCCTCCCAACTCTGCTCCAGGCAGTGCGTGTGGCCCTGGCCTCACTTGTGCCAGCTGCCTCAGCAGGTGTATGGAGGGTTGGCTTGGCTCCTGCAGGAGCACTGTCCACCCTGCTGCTGGGGTGGCCTGGGTGGCTTCCCAAGCCCTAAGGCTGTGCAGCCAGGAACCCCGTCCCTTCCCTCTTGTCAACACGTCTGCCCATAGGTATGGTGGCACCTTCCAGAATGTGTCTGTCAAGCTACCCATCACGCTCAACAAATTTTTCCAGCCCACAGAAATGGCTTCTCAGGATTTCTTTCAACGTTGGAAGCAGTTGAGCAAGTGAGAGGGCTGTGCTTGGGGGTGGGGAGAGGATCAGGGGTCATTCAGTGGGTGGCCTGTTAGCCTCCCGTGTGTCTGCCAGCTCTGACAGCCCTCCGTGCCCTTCCTCAGCCCACAACAAGAGGTGCAGAACATTTTCAAAGCAAAGCATCCGATGGACACAGAAATCACGAAAGCAAAGGTAAAAGGCTGTGGTGGTGTCCCCGAGGCAGACACCATGGCCGGTGCCTTTCCTGACTCCTTCCTCCTTTTGGACAGATCATTGGATTTGGTTCTGCACTCCTCGAGGAAGTCGATCCCAATCCTGCGAATTTTGTGGGTGCTGGCATCATACATACCAGAACCACCCAGATTGGGTGCCTGCTGCGCTTGGAGCCCAATCTGCAAGCCCAGGTCAGGACTCCCATGGGGGCGAGTGGAGACCTTGTGTGCCTGCGCCCGTCAGTGTGCATAGGCTTCCCGCCTCTCCATGGGCCCTGGCATGTGGGACCCCATGCAAGTTCCGTGTTGCAGTTCAATCAGTGGTGCTTCCTCTTAGTCCTGAGCAGTGTCCTTCTGGCCGAGGGGCCCCAGTCTCTGTGTCCAGTTCTGCCGGGGGCACCTGTTGTCACTTCATGGGTGATCCCTGGAGAGCAGCTGCCCTTGGGAGGTGGAGGCCCACTGAGAGGAGCTGCTGGCTGCCCTCGGGCTGCGTGGCTGCTGTCTGTTGCAGAGCCTGTGTCTGGTGCCTCAAGGAGCTGCGCGGGGCTTCGGTGTGCCGCTGACCTCTTGTCTCTGTTTCAGATGTACCGGCTCACGCTGCGCACCAGCAAAGACACCGTCTCACAGAGGCTGTGTGAGCTGCTGTCAGAGCAGTTTTAATCCACGGGCAGAAGGTCTGGCTCGTATCTGTGCGTCTCTCCTCGTCTCTGCCATTTGTCTTCGTCACCATATGCAAACAAAACCCCATGTCTGAACATCACAGCACAGGGTGCCTCCAGGCCCGGCCCCTGGTCATCGCGGGACAGCGGGCACTGTTGGAGGAGGACTGCAATGGGCCTGCCCCAGCAGGAGGGCCTCGGGCCCTGGGAATCAAGACAGCCCTGTGGTTCAGCCTACAAATTAAAGGGAAATAAGAAGTTTGAGTGGAAGTGGGGATTGTGTTGAGGTTTTGTCTGAGTGCCGCTGTTCTGTTGCAGACCCTTCTCAGATTTTGGAGCAGCAGCACTGCTGTGCTTACAGGGCTACCCTGGGACTACCTGGCTGTGCTGGCGTGACCCACTCTGCGAGAGGAGTGTGGCTAACCCTGCAGGCTGGGCAGTGTTTGCTCGGGGCTTGCTGAGGCACTGCCAGACGATTCCTGGGCGGGGTTGTAATTCAGGAGCTGGAAGCGTCTGTTTTGATGACTATTGGCCAAACCAGGCACCTGCTCCCCTCAGCCAGCCCTGTCCACAGCACCGGTGTTCTTGAAGGGACTTCTGTGATGTGTTCTGTCTGACACCTTAGATTTGCACTTGGTGGGTGGAGGGATCCTGATGGCTCTGCAGGGTGTGACCATGGCTCATCTTGTAAGACTCTGCAGGGTGTGCCTGTCCTTCCTGCTGGTGGCCTTCACCTGTCAAGTGCGCATTCCTAGGGCCTCAGTTGAGGCCGAGCGCTATAGACTGCACCTGTCCAGTCCTTGCTGGATGTCGGGGTGGAGGAGATTAAACTGGGGAGGACAAGGGCCCTGGATGTTGCTGTGCTGAGGGCGCGCCAGGTCTGCTGGCCACATGTCCCCAGCCCTCACAGGTGTCCCTGCACATGCTTGCAAGGTAGGATGTGGATGGGGCAGAGAGGCCTGGGGAGCCCAGGCAGGTGTGCCCTGCGATGGCTCCTAGGGTCAGCACACAGGGGACAGGCAGGTTTGTCTGAGCACACTTGAGCCCATAGCACCTGAGGAGACACAGGTAAGGCAGGACCCACTGTCACTCCCTTGATGTCCAGACACTGGACATGGCAGTGGCCCTTTGCCTCAGTTTCTGGCCATCATCCTGCCATCCTGGGTCTTAGGGACAGCTGCAGGGTGGCCTTCAGAGTACCAGCTCCTCCTGTGCTGGTCTTGGTGTGTGTGCGCCCCAAAGCTCCTGGTCTGCCCGAGATATGCCCCGGCCTCAGATGGGCTTTGCTGCAGGCGATGGCCTGGCTGGCCAGGGCGAGCCTCTGCATCCTCTTATTCCAGCTGCTGGACAGAGTGACTGTCCTTGATGTGCAGTCCACACACTGCATGTGGACAGCAGGGCCCATGACCATGGCTCCTGTGCATGGGCAGCCAGGTAGTGGTCTCTGGGCAACAAGTCTCCCTGGCATAGGAAGGGCTACTGAGGCACAGGCCTGCCCTCTGTGCTGTCCCAGGGGTGTCCATCTGTGCATTGTGCTCCTTTTCAAAGAAAAATAAATGCTAGTACAGTTGGATGCGTGTGTTGTCTTTTGGGCAGTGTCCTGTGGGCATTGTGGGTGCTGGCACCAAGGACCTGGAGTACCATCTGCCTGTGCAACCTGTCCTTCAGCTTTAGGACAGTCTCTCTGGGCCTGGGCAGTGCTGGACAGTACCTCACAACACCACAAAGCACCTTTGCTCTGATGGCATGACTCTGGGTATGGCCAGGACTGCCTAGGCTCCCTGCTTCAGTGGATGCTGGGCTGTGGCTCCTTGGAGGTCCTGGCCTTGGAGGCCTCTGGTCTAAGTGCACAGGAGGGATGGGCCCAAGGCTTCCTTCCTGCTGAGCTGCCTGTGGGGTGAGGTTGCCCCTGCCAGGGATCCTATAGCCTGGCAGGGATGGTGCTAGAGGGACCCAGAGGGTGGTAGCCTCGCCAGGGGCTTGCACAGAGTTTTGGGTGGGGGCTCGGCCAGTGGTGGTGGCCTTTCCTCTCCAAGCCCCACCTGGCGGCAGCCCCACCGAGCCCCGGTCCTGTGCCCACCGTGTAGGTTCCCCCAGGGAGAGAGGCCTGAGGGAGTTGGGGATGGCACAGTGGCGCTCATGGATCAGCCTCTGCCTGGACAAGATCCAGTTTATTTGGAATCAACTCGGTGGTGGGTGACAGCCTCCTCTGAGGATGTGGGTTCTGGCGGCAGCCATCTTGCACAGCTGGGTGCCACTGTGTTGCACCTGCCTGTCACCCTGACTGGGGATACCCCTCTCTGCTGGATTTCGTGCTTACCTGGCCTTTCGTCCTCCTTGTCCCGGTCCAGGTACCCACACCCGCCATGTCCCCATTCTCATCAGCCCACATGTCCCCCCAGCAGCCCTGCTGGAGCAGCCTCCTCCCTGGCATCTGCTTCTGGGTTGCTTTCTCTGCAAGATGCTGCAACCGAAGGCTGGGAGGCTGTGTGCGCGGCAGACGCTGCCGTCAGCACGTGCCCATGTCACACCCACGCTCTGGGTTGGGTCAGCAGGAGGTGGGTGCTCAGGGCTCCTTCCCAGCAGCTCCTTCCCTGCAGTGGCCTCAGGTGAGCCACCTCCGAGGGCTCGTGGAGTTCACATCTATGTCCAGGAAAGAGGCTGCTGGACACATCCAGAGGAGGAGTGTGGTGGCAGCTGCCTTGTTCTTGGCCTGCGACCTTTTGTGCGTGGGAGACCAGGCAGCTCCTCTAGTCTCTGCAGTGCGAGAGTTGGCACACACAGCTGCTGAACACCTGCAAGGTGACCTTGAGCTGCTGGCCTGGTGCGCTGGGGTCTGCACAGGGCAGTAGGAGCTGTTTCCTGTAGGAGTTGAGCGGGTAGCAGCAGCTACACTGAGCATCCACCTGCTGGGTGGTGATGTTGAAGCTGCCAAGAAGCAGACAAGCAGAGGGTCAGGGCAGCACCTCTCCCCTGAGGAGCAGCAGGACCCCAAGCCGTTTGCAGGCCAGACCTTTAAGAGCCTTCCCTTTCCTGCTGACTCCTGCTCACAGGCACAAGGCAAGTTCGACTTTGGGCATGGAGCAGGCTACCTGGACCCCGTGGACTGGGACAAGGCAGCACTGCGAGGACCCGGCAGCCTGGCAACTTGCTGTGGGTCTTGACCCAGCCAGGAAGGTTGACTCCCAGGGGCTCACCTGACGGAAGAGGCACAAGCACCCTCGCAGCGGGTCAGGGTCACGTTTGCGGTGCACCCCTGGTAGGTGATTTCCTGTTCATGTTCCTGCACACTGCAGGCTCCTGGGGGCCAAGAGGCAAGAGTTAAGTGGACAGCGAGGTGAATGCTCACACCAGAGCAGGGCCACTGAGCCGAGAGCACAGCTGCATGAGCAGACTGATTTTGGAGAAGCCTGAAGACGTAGAGGCCCCACTGTGGCCCCCGCAGCTCAGACCAGGCTCTGTGTGGGGCCAAAGGCTGGCAGCCTCTCCTTCCTGGCTCTTCTGAAGGACCTGGCAGTGAGCTGGGCCCCAGAGGAACCTCAGTCAGACCCAGCTCTCGCCACCCCCCTTCCTATGCCCCAGACATGGCCTGTGGCCATAGGTGTCTCAGGACCTGCTGAGGGCCAAGGAGAGTGTTTCCCTGTCTCCAAAAGGGGACTCCCCACACCAGGACTGGGGGAGGGGAAGCAGAGCAGGCCCCTTGGTCTGGGTTTCTAGGAGGGGTGCGGTGTGAGGACCAGGACACCTGGTCAGATGGTGGTGATGCTGCAGCACAGCCCAGGGTGCGCTGGTATAGGGGACAGGCATTACAACACATTAAAAAAAAAAAAAAAAAAAAGTTTCTGGCAGACTGGATGTTCTGCCCCGTGTTTCTCTCCCTCACCTCCACCAAATTGGTTCTGTCACCCACCACACCCAGCTTCTCCTGCACCAGCTGAGGAAGGAGGGGCTCACGGCCCAGTTTGCTGAGCCCCAGCGGCCTACTCCTGTTCCTCTGTTCTGCTTCCTGATGCTGCTTCCACAGGAAAGAGCCTGTGCCCGCGTCCTTATCTCACAGGGTGAGAAGCCCTCATGCACAGCAGAATGTGAAGCTCAGAGTTGGCGAGAAGGAACTGCTGGGGGACAAGGGGCCAGGGCAGCCTGGCTCCAAGAACATGTTCAACAGGGGGAATACTTCCAGGGGAGGAAGGGCATACCCAGAACACAAGGTGGACGTGGATAGCTCTTGCTGCATGGCATGGCCCAGCCCGTGCTTGCTCTGCAGGGAACCCTGGCACTTCCTGGGCAGGAGGGCAGCTGGAAGCAGCAGCTTACAGAGAGTGCCTCCATTAAACGGCAGCCCTGGTCTCCAGGCCCACTCAGCCTCCCACAGGTCAGGGAGGTGCATACTTGCAGTGGACTTCGCTTTCCTCTCTAACTCAAGGAGGTCATGTTCCTTGAGCTCAGGGACCCCTGCTATTTCACACCCTCTGAGCTTCCCAAGAGTCAGCTGTGGAAGGCTGCTTGGGGAGATATGTCAGCCTGAAAAGAGAGGTCAAGACTGCAGAGGGACATGCAGCAGAGGCCCGGGGTGTGAAAAATGCCTCTGATGCTGGTAGGAGACATGGGCAAGGAAGCACCAGTTTCATCCAGACTGGCGTTAGCACAGGGGCTGCTCAGGAGAGGAGAAAAGAATGGGGCTTGGGACAGGCACTGGGGCTGTGGGCAGCATGGAGGAATGGCGGGACGAGGGAAGGCAGTATGCCTGAGGGGCAGCACAGTGCAGATGGGAGAAGAGGCAGGCCTGGAATGCAGCCCTGAGCCAATGGGGGCCACAGAGATGCTGCTTACCATCAGAGGAGACTGAGGGGGCCACCCTGGAGGGGGTTGCTGGGGGGAAGGTAGAGGAGCTTCCGTGCGAGGTGATGTAGCTGGACAGGAGCATGGACGTCAGCAGCCTGGAGGTACCAGGAGGACTGCTGGTAAGGTTGGTAGTAGGGGAAACTGTTGAGCTTGTCATCCTCAAGGTCGAAGACACAAGGCCTGGCATGGAGGCTTGGGTGGTAAGAGAAGTAAGCTGGGAGGTGGTGGACTGTGAGAAGGCAGAGGAAGGGGAGGCACTGGGTGTAATCCTGGACGTGGAAGGGAAGCCTGGGCTGGGGTTTGGCACCTGAGCTGGGGTGGCAGATGTGTGGACAGCTGGCAGGGTGGGAAGAGCAGAGTCAGGGGAAGAGGAGTTTAAAAGAGGGAAAAGGGAAGTGTTAACAGGACTGGAGGTTGGGGTGGGGAGGAGAGAGGCAGAAGGAGAAGGGAAATGGGACCCAGTCGTAGACGCAGTGGGAAACGGAGCAGGAGGGATGGAGCTGCTGGTAGGTGCATACAGTGGGGGAGCAGTGGGGGAGGTTGAAGGGACTGAGGTGGACGATGTGGTAAGAGGAGATCTCGGTGACAGCAAGGCGGAAATGGGAGAGGAAGAGGTTTGAAAAGAAGTTGGCCGGGAGGTTGTGGATGAGGCCTTGGGCAAAAGTGTGGAAGGATGTGTAGTCTCTACAGAAACAGACGTGGTGAAAAGACTACGGAGTGCCGATGGCGAGGCTGCGGGGGACAAAGTAGAACTGGAGGTAGAAATGGAGGACAAGGGAGAAGAAGAGCTCCGGAAATAAGACGACGTTCTGGCAGTGTGGAAAGACCAGTGGGCCTGTGTGGAGGTCCAGGTGGACGTGGTCATCAGTGGTGAAGTGCTTCTGGGTCCAGTAGCCTTCACGGCTGTGGTTGAAAGACTCGTGTCCATTGGCCTTGGGATGGAGGTGCTCCATAACACCTCTGGGCTGGACGGGCTGGTGAGGCTCTGAGAAGTTGGTCTGAGAGAGATGGTGGATAGCGTGGTACCCAGAGAGGTAACTGAGGACTTGTGGCCAGTTGAAGTTGGATATGCCCTGGTGGTCTGGAGGGACGTTCCTGAGAGGGGCACGGAATGCTGGAGAGTGGTGGAGGCAGATGCCGTGTATGGAGACTGAGAGGTCCATAAGGTGTGTGTACTGGTGTGAGTGGCAGAGGAGGTGTGGGCCATAGGACTTGGAGTTTGTCTATTGGTGGGTGTGGTGATGATGCTCGTGGACAGGGGTGATGTGGATTCCATGTATGGCGAGGAGGAAAGGTGTGACAGGGAGGAAGCAGAGGTTCTAAGAGTGACGACTGAGCTGTGGGCTTGTGTGGAGGCCCTGGAAGACGTGGTCCTCTGCGCTGCACTGCTTGTGGGTCCAGTGGACTGGAAGGCTGTAGTTGAAAGACTGGAGCCCATTAACCTTGGGGAGGAAGTGCTCCATAACAGTTCAGGGCTGGTGGGCCAGTGAGAAGGTGATGTGAGAGGGCTGGTGGACAGTGTGGAAATCAGAGAGGTAGGTGAGGTCTGGGGCCCAGTGGGAGTTGGAAATGCACTGCTGGTCTTGAGGGACGTTCTTGTGAGGTGGATGGAAGGGCGGGCCGTGGTGGAGGCCGACGTGCTGTACAAGGAGTGAGAGGTCAATGGGGTTTGTTGAGTGCTGGGAAGGGCCAATGAGGTGAGTGCCACGGGGCTGCCGGTTTGTTTGATGGTGGTGGTCAGAGATAATGTGGGTTTCGGGTAAGGAGAGGACAATGGGAGGGACAGGGGGGCAGCGGAGGATCTGGAAGTGTTGATCGAGGTACTGGCTCCTGTGGAGGACCTGGTAGAAGTGGTCATCAGTAGTGTAGTGCTTGTGGTTCCGGTGGCCTTGATGGTTGTGGTGGAAAGACTGGAGCCCATAGGCCTTGGGGTGGAGGTACCACTGAGCACTTCTGGGCTGGATGGTCTGGTAGTCTTGAGGGGCGTAGCTGTGAGGTGCAGGGACGGGTGAGCCGTGGTGGAGGCAGACAAGGTGTATGAAGCCTGAGAGGTCCATGGCATGTGTGGAGTGCTGGGAGGGGACACAGAGTTAAGTGTCCTGGGGCTCTCCGTTTGTGTGATGGTGGTGGCAATAGGTAATGTGGATTTTGAGTGTGGACTGGCAGTAGGGTGTGGGAGAGGGGCAGGGGAGGTCCTGAAAGTGCTGATCAAGCTGGGGGCCCTGGTAGATGTGGTCATCAGTGGTAGAGTGGCTGTGGGTGCCG